TTTTTTTTTTTTTTTGAGACAGAGTCTTGCTCTGTTGCCCAGGCTGGAGTGCAGTGACGTAATCACGGCTCACTGAAGCCTCAACCTCCTAGGCTCAAATGATCCTCTCGTCTCAGCCTCCTGAGTAGCTGGAACTACAGGTACACACCACCACACCTGCCTTTTTTCTTTTTTTTCTTTTTTCTTTTTTTTTTTTTTTGAAGAGACGAGGGTCTCACTATGTTGCCCAGACTGGTCTCAACCTCCTGATCTCAAGTGATCCTCCTGCCTGGGTCTCCCAAAGTGCTGGGATTACAGGCATGAGCCACTGGGCCTGGCATGAAGTAGAAATTAAAAGTGTGGAATTAAAAAAATACTTTTGAAGATTTTAAATTTTATTTAAAATGTATTTTGAGCCGGACGCGGTGGCTCACGCCTGTAATCCCAGCACTTTGGGAGGCCGAGGTGGGTGGATCACGAGGTCAGGAGTTCAAGACCAGCCTGGCCAACATGGTGAAACCCCATCTCTACTAAAATACAAAAATTAGCTGGGAATATATATATTCCTAGCTATCGGGAGGCTGAGACAGGAGAATCCTTTGAACCCAGGAGTCAGAGGTTTCAGTGAGCCAAGATCACACCACTGCACTCCAGCCTGGGCGACAAGGCAGGACTCCGTCTCAAAATAAAAAAAATTCAGTAATGTTGGCCCCCTTCTAACCCCTTAAATGTGGTTCCCTAAACAGCCAGGGAATATGCCTGTGTCCACTCCCTCCCTCCCCCGACATGGCCCCACAACCCCCATCCCACCCCCACCCCCACCCTGCCCTTCTCTGTCCCCTCTGTCTTCTGGTCTCCCTCGTCCTCTGCCGCCCCCTGGTGGCCGTCCTGGCGCCTGGGTCTCCCCATCGCCGCCTCTCTGACCCTGTCCTGGTCCCATTTAGCAAATGTTCCAATCCTCTTAGGCCCGGCCAGCCTCAGCAGAGCAGAGAGAATTAGATCCGATTTGGGGGTGGAGGGCGGCGGACTCCCAGAATATAATGAAAACTCCTGCTTGTCAGACCCTGGAAGGCGGTAGACATACAGCAACTCACACACTGGGATCCCACAAGGGGCAACGAGGAGGGGAAACTGAGGAACAGAGAAAGGGGGAGACAGACGGGCAGGGTGGGGGGACGCCAAGGGGTGGGGAGAGCACCTGGAGGCTGAGAGGTCTTGCTCCCTGCGCCTGGAAAGTGTCTTCCCAATTTGGCTCTCACTGCCACTGTCACCGGAGCGCCTAGTGCCTCCACCTGCAATTCTGGAGTATCTTCCCTCTCCACAAGGACCTGATTCTCTCATCCAGAGTTATTTATTAATTCTTGGCATGTGGTTTTTTGGGGTTTTTTGTGTTTAGGGGGGCTTGTGGGGTTTTGGGGGGATTGTTTGTGTTTGGAGACAGGGTCTCACCCTGTTGCCCAGGTTGGAGTGCAGGTGGAGGGCACAGCTTAATGCAGCCTCAACCTCCCAGACTCCAGCGATCCTCCCACCTCAGCCTCCCAAGTAGCTGGGACTACAGGAGCACACCACTCCACCTGGCTA